AACACTTATATTGATAATTCATTGCTCAATTTCGAAAATTGTCGGATTTTTTTTTTCAAAATACAAATAATAAATTGAAAGATATATATAAAATCAAAAGTAAACAAACGAGGATAAAAGTTTACTTGATGTTATTTATACATGTAGTGATAATTTGAATTTGTATATACATGTATATAAGATCTTGCTTCGTTTGTCAGAAATATGATTTTATGATTTTCAATGTTGTTATATTTTTCTGGTCCTTCGGGATAATTGATTCCAGCGCTTTTAAGTGTTGAAAATTGAGTACCGCTAAAGCCGGTGCTAGAGGGCGTATGGGATGTTGCACTTTTTCATTGTTTCGTTATCTCTCATGTATAGACTCAATCAAACCGATTCTGCAATTTTCATGTAATTTTGTTGTGATTTATGCTTCCGAGGGATGATACTTTTTCCAGAGTTTTATGCAATTTCTTATACTTTGTTTTGAAAAAAGTCAGATAAAATACACACGGTACCATCTGACCCCAATCAATACTCATCATATAGATGCCGTAGTTTTATATCTTTTAGTTTAATCACCATGGGAACACCTTGTGCCAAAAAACTTTACAATGTATATAACACGAAATGAAACAAGAGACCTGGTTTTCGTTATAAGTCAAAGATCATACTGAAATGTTTTCATTACCATTAGATCAAACATGTTTGTGTGAAAATTCACGAGTGCTTCAATTTGTTTCAATTATTTATAATTCTTTACAAGTTTTGATATACATTTGATAGTAATATTCTTTTGCCCTAAAAGAATAAATGAAATAAAATTTAAATGTAATTTTACATCAAATTACAGAAACGTATTTAATACTCTAATTGGCTAATTTATCTTCACAATAAAAAAGGACAACAAAATTTGTGAATAAATATTTCGTCTTATTTAAAATTGGTTAAATCGAGTAGGTTTCTATCTCGAAATTTAAAATTCGCTACAATACTTTGAAGATTTTTAACTGTCTAGATCAATAGCTCTTAAATAGCTCTTAGAACTATTAAACCCCACAGTTTTAATGAATAATTTATTTGTTTGAAATAACTTGTCTTGATCAAATTAATGTTATAACATTTAAACAGCTCAATGAAAAAAAATGTTTACCAGAGAAACTTATGGAAACAACAAGGATCATTAAAAATGATATCTGACCCTGGTAAACTTAATGTTTTTCTCGATGAATAATTTCTAAGTGTTTTTTTCTTTTCTCTAATGTTAAAATTGTATTTCTAAACCTAGAGATGAAATTGTGATGCACAGAATTGGAATTTAATACTGACAGTGCTAGGTGTTCTGGGAAAAAATCTCAAATTAAACTAGCTAAAGTAAATAAGTTATGGAAAATCAGCGTGTTACACTGACTTACAAATTAACTAAAAAGAAGGGACGTTGTGTCATAATTATGTTATCTTATAAACTTCTTTTTTTCTGCAGAAAACAATACGTCAGAAAGCTCGAGAAAAGCGTTTGATTTCATTGAACTGTTTATATATTACACATTAACTAGAATATAACTAAATAATATAACTCGTAATACTTTATACCAGCAAATAATAACTTCCACTTGTCAGCTTTATTTCTATATTACTAAGTATGTTTACATCCATATAAAGACAAACAAAAATTAGATTCAGTACCGTATTCGCAAAATTCGTCAAATTGCCACGTATTTAGTGATAATATAATTGTATTGCAAATAGACCGGCTATATCCCGTTCATAAATAATAACAATAACAATAATAATAATAATAATAATAAAAATAATAAAATAATGATAATAATAATTCACGTATATATATAAAGTAATGAAAAAGGCGGTGTAATTTTTATTTAAGACACCTATTTAAGACATATAATTTTTTTTACATTTGAGTAAATGCTGGTTTCCCCGTGCCCCAATATTGTGTGTTGAACTTTAATCAGCATTACGTTTAAGCACTAGGCACCAATATTGGGTTCCGATTTGTTCAATAATAAATATATGGTTACGTTGTATTTGAAATTCATTATCATATATCACATAATTAGTAAACTCTCAATTTACCATTTTATTTAGTACTGGTAATTGTTTCATCATGAAGGACAATACTTTTATTTTGGACCAGACTTCGCTTTTCTTGGAAATGTACAAATGCATAGCATTCACAAAGTTAATTGATCCATTCCAGTTTAACATTAAGACAACACTCAGAAATTATTCAACGAGGTAAAACTAAGTTTACCGGTGTCAAGTATGTAGATTAAATATCATTTGCATGATCTACTAAAGCCGGTGTTAGGGGGCTAGGAGGCAAATCCCCCCCCCCCCCCCCCCGAAAAAAAAAGGTTCAATCAAACTAGCTTGCATTTTTATTTGCCGTGTTTGGTACATTCGATGTGTCTATTATTTTGACTAGTTTACAGATGCTCGTTATGTGTTTTTAACACCGATTAATATTTTTTTAATATTTATTTTTTCACCTTTTATGGATGATTTTTCAATTTTATTTAGATAAGGAATTATTTTCATTAACTATATATTTTGTTCTGATAAATTCGACGTCAACATTTCATATTGTGAGTCATAAACTTTCTAGTTTTGCTTAATTTTACCCACAATGTAGATATTGACAGAATGAAAATAATACAGCTTGATTTAATTGCCCTATTGATTGGTTTGAAAACTGTCATCAGAAGTGAATTTCAATAAATTTACAATATTCAAATTAAAGAATTTCACAATGAATAGACATGATGATTAATTATTCATCATTAATCGATCATCAATCGATAACCTTTGTATTCATGGCTTTTTCATGAGATATCTCACCTCTCAATTTAAATAAATAAAACAAGTGACATGAATTATCCTTCCAATACTTCAATAGATACATATGGTTCACGTGTTTGTCTTCCATTTCTAGAATATTGAAAAGTTGGTATGCACTTCAGTGGCTTAATAATTAATTAATTTGTTCAAACATTTCATACCGTCATTTTAATAATATATGTAATACGCCAAACTTACTTCAATATTAAACCAAATCGGGTAAACTTGTACAAACAAAACTATCCTTTTTCTTAATTTTCGTTTTTCACTTAACAAATATAAGTACAAATATAACATAAAAAATGTCATTTAAACTTTGAGTTTAATCGATTAAACTCACTAATATTCGTTTTGTTTTATCCATATTATATATGTTAAGAAAACTGAGGGAATGTAACTGTCACGTAAAGTAGATTTGATATGTTCAATGTGCAAACGCATAGTTATACGAGTCACAGTTAAATTATAATATTTGAACATATACAATGTACAAACAGCATAAATCAAAACAGAAGTTGTAAGAGATAAAATTCCCCAAACTCAGTATATCGTATTAAAATGAATGTTACTTCATTAGTTTAATTTATTTTCTTACACCATAAAATATATTTGCACGGTGAATTTATTTATTTATTTATTTATTTATTTATTTATTTATTTATTTATTTATTTATTTATTTAATTATTTATTCATTTATTCATTCATTCATTCATTCATTCATTCATTCATTCATTCAGTCAGTCAGTCAGTCAGTCAGTCAGTCAGTCATTCAGTCATTCAGTCATTTATTTATTTATTTTTATTATATCATTATCACCTTCATGAAGTCATACTGTAAAGGTTTCTTTTAAGAACTAACACTACTCCATTTATTTTTTTTCTATTAAGGTTTGGTCAAAACCGATTTCATTTTTTTCTTGCACATATATAATTATATCTTTACCTGTTAAAATTGATTATCACATTTTATCATATATCTGATACATATATAATACAATGTCCAAATGTGTTATATATAAATACATGTCATGTTAAACTTTAGAAATATCTCAGCCTCTAATAGGAAAGATATTCTATATTGAAAAGCTTCAATATTGATTCCTTTAATATTCAAATGTACCACGATAATTAAATTTATACATAAGGGAAAAGCAATTCTCTGCTCTTAAATTGCTGGAATACAGTACAGCTTTTATAAATACACACATTTTTAGACATGTTACGGAGTTATGTATCAATAAATGCATTAATATTAATTGACTGATTAAAAATGAGATATGTTGTTACTCTAAGTTTGTATTGAATTGTTCGCTTCACATGAAAGGTCTCGCACGCGGCAATTGTGCATTAATGTTTAATTGGAACCAATAAAAGAATCATTTGAAATAAAATAACGTTGTTACATAAAGATGAAGTGTTATTTGAAAGTAATTAATTCACGTTTTAACAATACTCGCAGTGCTAGGCTTTTTGTCCTTCTTTAGTTGAATTTAATGTCTTTAAAATCAAATTGTATTAAAACCTAATTAACCATACACGTATCAAATGATAGTAAAAAGGAAAAGAAGAAAAAAACACCAACAGGAACAAATCTCTCCCAAAAAGGGGGAAAATTGTATGACATACTAACATGGTTAAAAATTAAAATTGTATAATATATTTATTAGGATAGAAAGGCAAAAAAGGTATGAAATACTAATTTTGGATTAAAAATGTGACGTTTTCCATTTTCCATTTTTGTATCGATAAGTTGAAAAGTAATAATTTGCATCTGAAACTTTGTTAGTAGACAAATTGTACTAGTTATGAAGCAAATAATATGTATTTATACGTTAAGTAGCACACTCATATTGTAAATGAATTACATGTAATACGATGTTTGGTAAACCACATTTATTTAAGGAACATAGAAATGGAAAAAAAAACTCTTGTCAAATTTATTAAAATGGAAGAAAATCAGCGAAAATATTAAAAAATATAATATCTTTTCAACAGATATCAACAATTTACATCTTTTATTCAGTAGAGTAAAATATATCGGGATTTTGTCAGAATAACTAATTGAAAATGGAATAATATACAAAATGTAATCATTTTTTTTTTTATAAAGTTGTAATATGTTAACAATTTTAGGGGAAATTGTGAATTTTAAACTTACTTTGAGCTGTTAAATGTAGTATAACAACTAATATACAAATTCCGTTGATAAATTCCATTATTGTTCCGTGTAAATGAATGACGACCTATCTTACACAGACGGCATTTAGCAATGACAAAGCGTAGTAATACATACAAAAAGACTGACTCGGTAAATATCGGAAAATCGAATGGAGTTTCACATCTAAGCAGCTCCGAGCTAAGCAAATGGGTGATCTATTAATATATACTTTCTTAAAGACAAACGATTACACTTATATGGCAATAAAAATATTTATTGCGCTTTTGGAACTGTAATTGAAATGTTAATTTGAGAGGAATACGTCTGACAGTTTTATAATTAGGAAGTAGCTATATCGATATGAAATAATTACGAAAATGTTGGAAATGTCAAAGTCTCAGTTATAAAAGTAACTCACTCTATGGTCGCGTCTGTAAAATATATAACACAACAAAGTAATAATTATACCAAGTTAAAACCATTAAACAAGGTTAGCTTTTAAAAAAGCTAGTAGCGACTCGCTTCGTAATTTCTTTCCAGGGGCGTGTTTAAATGTAAAAATGACAGTTCTGTTAGCTGAAAAGACTTCAGCGAACATCAAAATAAAAGTGACATATAAAGTTAAGGAAGCCAGTTCTCTCAGTTTAACAAAGAGGAATATGAGTATATATGAAGATGCATGTAAACAGATAGAATGAAATCCCTATGTCTATGCACATTTACTATATGGCCTGTTGACCTTGACAAGAAAAAAATAGATAAGTAGAATTCATAAAAATGTCTCTTTATACGAAGTTAAGTTGTAATATGTTATTTAATTAGTATTGGAATAAGTGACAGATACAAGTCCTAAAGTAAACACAAGTTGTCAAACAATTCAGCCAGAAAAGCCGGGATCCTACTAAAAAAAGGATCCCGGAAATTGACCAGTTCAAGAATATAGTTTTCAGAAAAGCTGGGATCATATTAAAAAATAAAGAGATCCCAGGAATTGGACAGTTCAAGAATATTGTTTTCAGAAAAGCTGAAATCGTATAAAACCATAAAGGGATCCCGGGATTTGACCAATTCAAGAATATAGTCTTTGATTTTTCCAATTAATTAGGCATATAATTATAAGTATTGTGATTTTGTTAACACATAGCTCTAAATATATCTATATCCTAAGTTAAATCCTAAGTAAAATCAATTTAACTTTCATTACATACAATTAAAAAACTTAACGTTTAATGGCCTGTCATTACGACAATAATCAACACAAATAAGGTTTATTAGTTTTTTCCTCTATTATCTTATACGATCCCGGATCCCGGGCGTCCCGGATCCCGGCCAGTAAATACATACACTAAATACCGGAAAGGATGAAATGACCGGAAAAAAGGAAAAAGAAAAAAAATGCACAGAATGTCGTTTATGTTAATTAACCAAACGAAAACTTACTACAGAGTAAACAGGACTGGTGAAATCGCTAAATCAAAAGTCAGTGTAAATATGATTTACTGAAAAGAATCCATGAAAACAAACATTTTAATCATCATTATATCTTTGCGCTCAAAACAATACTTCCTGCTTTTTAAAAATGGCGTGAAAATTGAAGGTTTTTTGACGCTATATAAGATCAGATTTGATTGGCTAAATAATTTTGGATCCTAGCCCTGATAGATAAATTTTGTAGAAAGCTGGAAGCTAAGCTTCGATTAAATTTTTGGATGGATTCGGAGTTTTAGGTTGTTTCTCAGTAAAATCCTAACGTAATACCGGCTCGCCGTGGCGAGCCGGCATCAACAGCATTGATGTAAACGCACAAGATCGAATAAATAAACATAAACATGTCAGCCTAAACATATAACTCAGACTGGCTTCATAATCGTTTTTAGTACCATGTATAAACTGTACAATAAGTACAATTGTCAAGAAATACTCATAAAATGTATGAATATTGAACTTCGAACATAAGATCGATTCCTTGACAAAAGAAGAAACTTTGATGCTAATGTTAATTTACGGTCTTGCCAAACTGTGACCCGAGGTATATGTATTTATGATATTTTTTACTATTTTGCGATATAGTTACTGACGAAGCTAATATTAGTGACACAGCACTAAAAGATGTAAATTAATTGAAGAATTACTCATATCTTTCTGAATAATCAATTATTAGAGTATTCTGAACTATTTATGTCAATTTGATTTTTGTTCATGTACTTGGCATAATATTCGATTGGTTATGGCTATGCATGTTATGATATCAAATGCCTCATAGATATTATTTTAAGTTATGTTATGTTTAAGATATATAAATAAATTATATAATTATAATTTGAAAAATAATTTGATCTATAGAACATTTGTTTAGATCTGGAAAAAGTTTGTTACACAAAGTGAGAAAATGTATTTTAAAACAAGTAACAGTTTATAAATATTGACATATCCGACAAAGTTTTAGTGATGTAAAAGTATATTTTTCTTCTTCATCTTCTTCTTCTTCTTTTTCTTCTTCTTCTTTTTCTTTTTCTGAACGTTTTTGGCGAGAGCGACAGTAAAATATCTTGTTATAACACCGACTGTTTACAAAATTGTTACAGAAAGTTGCCAGACAAACTTACTTGCATAATTTCGTCCCGAGAACTAGCTTGAGAGACAAGCTTTTGTTATTCTATTACCTTATCAGAGCAGACATTACTTGTAAAACTTGTAAAAGAACATGTCATTGTTTTAGGTATTATGTCTGGAAAAGACAAACTAGTTTTATTGGAAAGAAAAAATATAGAAGGAGTTGTCAAAACAATGTCGTTCAAAGGTTGACAAAAAAGCAATACATTGTTGTTTTATTAGAAAGCAAAGTGTTTTTTATCCGATGTAAACCGGGAAAGACTTGTTTGATTAATTAAACAAATATATTGAATTTTTACTTTGTTAATCTGTATTTTCTTGTCGACTCTATGTCTTTGAAATATAAACATAATAGAATAATGATATTGTCATTATCTAGAAATCGAGGAAGACAATTAAGTTATAAATGCATCATCTATTTATTTAGTTCTTTATTTATTTATCTATTTATTTATTCGTTCGTTGCTTTATTTGTGTGTTTGTTTGTTCGTTCGTTCGTTCGTTCGTTCGTTCCTTCCTTCCTTCCTTCCTTCATTCATTCATTTATTCATTCATTCATTCATTCATTCATTTATTTATTTACTTATTCATTTACGTTGGAAATCATCAATATAAGGAAATAAGGTGAAGCATTTATTTCTGTATTTCTTATTGCATTGTATTGTAAAAGAACGTCAATAGAATATTAATATAAATATGAATGTTGATAAACACGTACAAGTGTACAAATGTATCTTAATGCATTAATATGACCAGTGATTGATTTTACATCTAGAAGCAAATAGTGTCTAATCTTATGTATTTGAGGAATCATTTAAAAACCAACGAAAACATCGATCCCTAAAAAGAAAAGTAACAAAAAGAATGATGAAATTCTTATATTACATGCATCAGTTTTTTATCCACCTTTTCAAAACCTTGCACAATGACTCATACATCATATTCTCTTTCATCACTTGTTATAAATGGATTTTATTTCCTTTAATCTATTGCCAAGCAACGCAATTCTTCACAAAGTAGCTGTAATCCAGACGTAATTCTGATCTTGATCAAATAAGTATAAGAACAGACTTCCCGGAGGTCATTGGAGACGGTGTCTTTAGAATTATTGATCACAACTTTCATCCTGGCCCTTGAGGGTCAAAACTAATAATCTATGTACCGTTTAGTGGAAAAGTATCTTGCAGCAGACGACACTTCATGTCAGAATTGAACATTCTGCAAACAGGGGGATTCAGTAACTTGTAATAATTGTAGTACATTTTGTAATTTGATTATTAATAGTTCCTGTTTGTATAAGATATTTCTAAACATATTTATAAAGTTTTTTCTTCTGTTATTAATTTAACAATGTAATCATACTTTTTTATCTTCATTGATAAAAATGTTGGATACCGTACGTATCGAGCCACTGAAATATCTCAATGAAAACGGAGCAATTGGAAATAAAAAAAAATCAAGTGATTGCAGCGTTCAATAAGTACAGCCCCATAATATGTAGTCCCTTACAGACATATGATTATCGATGAAACATCATACTTGAATCCAAAAAGGGTGAATGGGGCCATAACATTATCTGAGTGTTGCTATTTTTCTGAACTTGCTGGTAATTGGATTCAAAGAATTTACTGGCGAAAAGAAGCCGGTGTCAAGGGGCATGAAACATGTTGCGCTTCCCAATATTTCTCATGACCAAACTCAACGAACCGGGTCTACAAAATCATTTACATGTACATTTTTTGCTGCTTTGAATGGATCTCCTTTTTCAGTTTTTTCCTAAAAGCCTTTTCCGAGAGTGGCATTACTAATTTTGATCGAAAATCAAACCATTAATGTCTCTCAACACATGGATAATTGATTGTGAACAACTTGCTTTAAAGTTATCGGTACTGTTACGTTCCAGACAGTGGACACCAAAGTTCTTCAAATAAGTTTCATACCCTCAAAGCAATCTTACCACTATAAATACATAAAATAAAACCTCGAATGTAATTTCTGAGTAGTTTAACTTTTCACGTAAATATTTTGGTACATTTATATAATATTTGAAAAGAAATACAAAATACATTAAGCATAAGATTGTAAATAATCTCGTACATTGACAGTTAAAACTGTTTTAGTTATACACGGATCTATTGTCTTTGATGTAATTCTTATTTACATTTATATAGTTATACAATGGCTATAAATATGTTTATCTTACTTTCTTATTATGTCGTTTGTTACTGTTGTATAAAGTATTCATTTATAGTCACGTAGCTTTATAATAGAAAACACAACTATAACAGACGCCCCATCCCCACCAACTAAAAAAACAAACAATATAAACAACAAAAAATACCACCAATCCCACCCCCTTAAAAAACAAATAAACATTTGTTTTGTTTGCATTAAAAGTATGTATGATTGTTTAGCGTATGAATATTTATTATTGTTTTTTTTAGATAAGTAAATCAAATCTTGTGTATTTTGTCTTTTAATTGTTTTTTCCGGATTGGTATGATATATTGAA